TCGAGCCCCGCCACCGCCACCCGACTTTGGTGGTAGGCAGCTCTGCTGTCGTCCGGTTCAATACCACGCCTAACCTAGTGCGGGGCCTTATGTGGTTCGCCACTCCAAGTTCCGGGGCTTAGGTTGCCGATTTCAATCAATGAACAGCAGGTCCTTGGGACTATGGGGTTTACCCCGTCTGCTGTTGATCACACCTAGGTGTGTAATAAAAAAAAAGACTGCTGTCTAAAACTGAGGGGGAATATCAATGTTTCGTACATGATTTTTTGTTTCGTTGCAAACCTATGGGACGTTGCAGATGATGTGAAAAGCAAGGAAATCAAATGATGTACGCGTAACTAACTAACCGTCAACTGATGTACTGTCTGAGTGGCTTTTCTTGTGGCCGTTTGTTCCTGACTTGGATTCAACGTGAGATAATGCTGAATTTTCGAAGCGTTATTTCCAGCCAGATCTGTTCAGGTAAATCGAATTGATAAACGGAACGGATGAGAAACAGGGACTGAGGACATTGAGGATTAACAGTCGGCGGTGAACAATGAAACATAAACAAAAATGTTAATTTTTGGCATAGAATTTGACACGAAAAGAACGAAGATGCAAATCAGGTAAACGATATGAACAACCAAAAATTCATGCACCTTAACAGATCTCACCACGCACACCAAACGGAGTTCATCACAGATTGACGCACAATTCGTGCAGGAAGATGTCGACCTATCAACGGGGCATCAGCCCCAATGCGTCACCGCGCAAGAGTGTGCGGTATTCTCACTCCCGATAAACAATCCTGTTTAATTCATTCCAGTTTTAGCACGGGACATGCGTGGTAAGCATGGTCAATCCCTTAGGCCAGTTGTGTTCATCCATTAATTGGATGTGACGTGCACCCGGATTTGGAAAAGCTATTCGGCTAAAGACAGACTAAGGTCAGGCAATACAACACGGAGTCCCACTCGGACGGTACAAAGAATATGATAAATCAGATCACCGCACTTGGTAACCACAACCTCTAAAACACGATTTTGTTTGCTGAACCGATTTCCCGCATCACCATCATTTGCCGCTAGTATGGGCGATCTAACAAAGCTAAGGCTTATCAGGCCCCATAGGATTTTTACAGAATCTTCTGAATAACTTTATAAGGAGAAAACAATAGTAATATGCATGATCACTCACGGATGTCAAAATGTTAAGTGTTCCGATGTTTTATCAAGTTGCGATTTAAAAAGTTCAACTGTAGGAGAACACACTACATAGGATACAAGAGAATTCCATACACCACACTCTTTGACTGCAAACCAGTGATGCCGGCAATCAAGGTGGCTGTTCTGAGACCCCAGAGGTGATCATTTTGAGATAAAGTTAGCACAGAACGGCAAGGGTGGCTGGGTGGATGCAGTATGTGGTATATCAAGATTAGATCCCTTCGAAGTCGACGGTACTGGGAGGAATAAAGCCATAATATTTGCAGTCTTTCGGAGTATGTTTTAGTATACAAACCTTTGGTCAATTTTTTCGGACGTTCTAGAGCCTTTGTATCGCGGCTCAGCCATGGATTCCATATTTAAACGGCGTACTCCGTGTGTGGCCGAATGAACGCTGATAGCAAGTGTGGAAACAGTGCCGCCCGAAAGCACGTTTCAGTAGTCTAACTTGGTTTAGAGCCATGGATGACGTTCTGGAACAGTCCTCCAGTACCATAACTCCCAAATCCCTTTGATCAGACGACGAAATCGACTTCGATCTAATCACTTGGTTCTAATTTTTCAAGGCAGCCATAATTACATCAACCCGGAGGTGACGCGATACCGTTTCTACAAACCCAAACATACCCAGATATTCATTTCCCCTAAAGTTCTTTTGATTAGTTGCTGCTTCTGCCTCTATTGGCTGGTTATGCATTCAATGAAGGTTGACACAAAATTATTACAAACTGTATTTTTATTAGTGTTGTTGTTATTAGATGTGGGCTCCGCAAACTTACCTGAGATCAGCTGAGGCTCCACGCTGGTCGGTTTTCCCTGGATTCGATCCAACAAAATAGCCAAATAGATCAAACGCGACGGGGAACGAACGATTTTGGGAAATTCCACTGATAATTCTTGCTCCGGCCGAGTCAGCTTCCCAAGCAGTGCGTGTAGTTCAATGCCCAGATCAAGTGATGGAGGAAGAATCTCAAACAGACGCCAGGCAAGGATTAATTGGTA